TTTTTTTTTAAACATTGACCTACTTTAACAAGATGAATACACAAGAACAAAAGTGTGAAGTGGTAGTCATCCGCTCTGCAGGACTAAGTACCAAACAACAGCAGGGTGTCTTACGCCCACGCTTTACCCCGCTGGTCGATGTTGATGAAGATGGAATAAAGGAGTTTGTTTTTAATTATTATTATATATTATTATGTGGTTGCTTTCTAATTGGCCTGTCTCCGTGTCTCTTTCGCTGTGTGTAACAGTACAGAGAAGTAGTCCGATCTACTTGAAGCAGTGAGCACTCTCCAGGACTGGGGCATGCCTCTCAGTGGTAGTTTACTCATTCGTTGTTCATTTCAGTCCGTTTTGCTTCATGGCTCAAGTCTGTGACACCATCTTCTAGTCTCTAGACTGTCCGCGGAGGACATCACATCACGCAGGGCTTAATGTCCTGGTAGGAGACCTGTTGGTGGTGATAGTAGGAGCCGCTGCTCGGTGAGTGCATGGCTGAGGAAGTCATGGCGTTGAACGAGAAGACGAACTCCTTTCGGTCACACATGCTGGGAGACTGGGAATGGTACCGAGGAATACCTGCAAAAAAGCATTTAAAACATGAATGGAAATGCTACTAATAATAATAATTTTAAAGGGTCACTTTTAAATGTAATGTACTTGAAGGCTAGGTTACTTTATGTTCCCCCAGTTAAGAAAAATGTTGTTTATAGTTCTGAAATAAAAAGTTATTTAAATGCTTACAAGTTATTTGCAACACGATTTGATTGGTAAACTTGCTGATACTAATTATCCAGTTCTACAGACCTTCGCTATGCGTTCTGGAAACCCTAATAATAAAACTGTTATATGTGATAATAATAATAATAATAATAATAATAATAATAATAATAATAATAATAATAATAATATGCTCTATATCTACCATATTTTACCGCAAAAAGATGGCTGTATGTGTAGGTACTTTATATTCTGTGTAAGAAAGACGTTTATATTTGTAAATTGAGCTTCACTCTATTATACTAACTGAAATGCATGCATTCCTCTTAGGGCCAAAGTCCATTTAGTAAGCACGATAAAGATTGTCAAAAGGGGAGGCGGGCTTGAAGGGCTAATTGACAGTGGCCCCTTTGCACGCCAGTCCCGGAGGACCGAGAGCCTCGAGGCAAGGCAGGCTGGACCTAACCGCGCTTGTTTTTTTTGTTTTTTTGTCCACAGATTGGCGTGACTCTAAACTCTCCCGGTAGACTCTTTCAACCATCTGATTTATTATTTTTTAATACCACACGTTCAGGAGGTTTGAACCCCCCTGGTCTTCTGTCTGGGTTTTATTTTAATAAACCTGATTTATTATGTTTAATGGTTCACAAAATACTGGAACTTTATTTACGAAAAAAAGTGGTTAAGTTGTGTTGTATCATTTCCTTAATAGCCTTAATTCCAATCCCTCAATTATGCACAGCACAGATAAGCCTTATGTTTACTGACTGCAGAATAAATCCGGCGCATTTCAGTGTGATGCTCTTCAGAATTACTCAACATTTCCACTAGGCCCAAGTTTGGCGCATGATATGTGAAATCAAATTCTGTAAACCACAGACATATGTGGACAGTATATTATCTCTGTCTCTATCCTCTAATAACCAAAGCGTCTTAATTTGAATAAAATCTTTGTTTCGTTTATCTTTGTCATAGCTCGCAAATGTTCTTTATAACATCAGGCCCGGCTTTTCTGAACCTTTTGCGCTTTTTTTTTTTAAATTAGAAAATTATATATATATATATATATATATATACACACACACATATATATAAACTTACCTTGTAAATCTGTGGTGCTGTGGCCATTCTGGTGCAGGTATGGTTGGTCTAGTGAATGTGTGGGCAAACTTGGCTGCAGTGGGTTCGCTCCTGGATTACAGGGGGACAGAGGCTGCTGCTTGATGTAGGAAGCCCCGTTATTCAATGAGGCCGAAGGGGCTGGAGCCCACGCAGAGGCTGAACTCGAGTATACGGGATGAGGCTCCATGACTCCTCCGCTGGTGAGCAGAGGGGAGGCGGAATTGTCGTGGTGGGGATAATCACTCCCAGTGGATCCTGTACAACTTCCCATGTAGGAATGTCCACTGTTGGTCGACAAGTGTGACATGGAGTGTCCGGACAGACCCATCCCTTCCATGTTACCTGCCAAGTGTCCATTCATCATCCCAATCCCACTGTCCAGAGACAAACTGTTGGGCGGACAGGATAGGCCCCCGCCGCTCCCTTGGAAGTTGTAAGACTCGGGGATGTGGTTGAATCCCAGGCCGTTCATCATGCTGTACATGGGCTTCAGCGCCTGGCACTTGCGCCTAAAACCCCTGGGTCTCCTTCTGAAGGAGCCTTCCTCGAACATAAACTCACTAGCCGGGTCAATAGTCCAGTAGTGTCCTTTCCCCGGTCGACCGAGGCCTTTGGGCAACTTAATGAAGCACTCGTTCAGGGACAAGTTGTGACGCACGGAGTTCTTCCATCCCTGGTACGAGCCCCGAAAAAACGGGAAGCGGCTCTGTAGAAACTGATATATTTCACTGAGGGTCAGGCGTTTTGTTGGAGAGCTCTGAATAGCCATAACTATTAAAGCTATGTAGGAATAAGGTGGTTTCTCTGGTCGTCGGATCCCTGCGTTTGTCTTTTTGGTTTTCGTAGTGGAGGAGGCAGTTTCCATCACCACCGTTTGTCCGTGTGGCTTCTCCGGAGCAGACATCGGGCTGCTCTGGGCAGGAGTCTGTGCTGGGGGCTGCTGAACCTCTGCCGTCATTAGTTAAATTTAATCTTCGAGACGGAAAACAAAAACAGAATTGCTTTTCCACCTATAAAAAATAGTAAGTTAGGTACTAAATTGGTGTCATAAAGAAAAAAAAAATCTAATAATGATAGTGGCGATAGAGGCAAATGCGCGATTATCTTCTTAGCTGTTGCTTTTGATTCAGTCCTGCGGCAGTCTGAAGCCGGACCGCCTTGTACGCAGTGCCCGAAATGGGATAAAGAGAAGAACAGGAGCCGCTTTCCACTTCAGTTGGTGTGTTGTCGTGCGTCCGAGGAGCTCACTTTTTACTTATCTGTTGCCATCGGCGCATTGGAAGCTGTATGTCTTGGTCATCCTAATGTTGGGACCCGCCCAGTTCCCCGATTGCCCTCCTACTCAAGTGGTGGGCTGTAAGCTTGCACGTCTGTGTGCGTTCACTTTTCAGTGAAATCTTTCTTTTTCCTCCGTCCTTACACAGAAATAGAGAATATATCTCACATATAACATTTAATTTCAAGGACCCATACGCTAACACATCCCTCAGAGCACAAATAAATTCAAATGCCCGTTAATGATTTGCATAAGCTTATACTATTTAAGTGAATGCATTAGATTCAGCATTCGGATACAGATTTTGGTTTTGCTTGTTCTCTAATACGATGTTCTTTTTAGGGTTATGATCATTCTAACACTATTTATACAACTGATATCTGTTGTTAAACCTGCAAGCAGTATCCCGCCATTGCAGGCCATATAACCCAAGAGCCACACGACTGCAGCCTTGTTATGTCTCCTTTGTAATTAAAACGATTAAAAAAAGCTACTTTATATCACATTTTTAGTATATGGAAAACATTTACCAGAGAACATGCCCCTCATATTCAAAACCACCCTCTTGATTTCTGTAAAAGATAGACAGGAACATGGGCAGGATGTTTATACAGCAAAATGTAAACATTTTCCCTGGCCTTCTTTAAATAAAAAATCAAGCAAAAGCCCAGTTAGATCAGCTAATACTCAATCTGATGCGATATGCTTGCCTGTTCGGAGAGTCGATGCGGACATTTTAACACATGAATATTGTTTGTGTAATGTAGTCATAATATTTACGCAGGGACGCAAGAGGAGTGAGGTGGAAGCTCCTCCGAACTCTGAACACAGAAACTCGGACTGGCACTTGAGATCGACTCCTGCAGGCACTTCTCCATCGAATGATCGTGGAATTGAAGTAAGGTGGATTTAAGGCTTTCATTCACAGGATTACTAACAGTGATGCAGCTCTTTAATCCCCACAGCAGGAGACGTAGATTGTTCGATTTGCATTATGTTACATAATATAGGACAATTAGAAAAGTTGAGTTCAAATTTGGATCAAGCTCTGCCTTCTTGCACTAAGTGACAGTTTACTTGGAAAATGGTTTTTTTCTTTTTTTCCAACACTGAAAAACCAACTTTAAGATCGCTGTATTGCTCTCTCACAAAATTGCGAGCGAGAGCTACTGGAAGTCGAGGAGTATAGCCTGAAACTGTTGACAGTAGGTTGGTTATTGTTCCCTGGAGATCTCGATAGCTGCAGCCTGCAACCTTTTGAATTCAGTTAGATGAGCGCGTGCTTCTGCTCGCTGTCGGCGTTATTGTTTTTTAGGGGTTCGTGACTGTTGATTTTGGCACCGTGGACATAAATAAGAGGCGAATATATGTATTTTGGTTCGTGCGTAAAACCAGTGTTTGACGACTCCATTGTGCGCAAAAATCCTGTAATCTTTTCAAGGAGTTCCGTTTGAGGTGACACATTTTAATCAAACTCAGTGTATAAGTAAAATATCGCGCGGTTTATTAATGTTCCTACTGATTAAATTCCCCAGTGCCAAAACATAAGCGGGCGGTTTTCTTTTGTTCCAGGTAGTTCGCCAAAGGGAAATCGAGAAAACAATTCATTGTAAAAAAAAAAAAAAAATCATCGTCAGCCCAAAGGTGACAGCCGTGCCAAGGTTAGATTTTACTGTTGCAAAGGAGATTTAGAACCACGGATAAGTGAATGTAAGTATTGTTTTAACCAGTGCCTGTTCGGCCAATCGCCTGAAGTGAGGGCCACACATTTATCAGCATAGCAGACCACCCAGCGCGCACCAGGGGCAGGCGCGCTCCCGTCCTCTTTCTGCCCACTGCATTTAATTACCGCTGATGACTTCATACCATTCTTTGTCTCACGTTCTTTAGAGTCATGTTATTTGCAAATATATCTATATATACAAAAGCATTTATATAGCTGGGGGGATGTGTCTCTGGTGTTTAAGAAGAAATTATCTGTTTGATGGCCTCTGCTGCGTATTCACACGGTGCAAAGTTATATATTTTCATAATGGAGAAATCGATTAAAGGTATTATTCACCCTCAGAATATCACTTAGTACAAGTAGTACAAGAATACAGGAATATTATACAGTACAAGTACAAGAAATGGCCTTTTTTGTATCTAATGGAAAGAGCGAGTTTTGAAAATCTTTTTGCCCCTCCTATGGACAGGTATGCCAACGCGCGCGTGCACACACACACACACACACACACACACACACACACACACAAACACACACACAAACAAACTGCCTAAAAGGTGGCATATTATGTTCATCATCACTGGGGCTGGAGATCCGAGGTCAGAGCCTCCCCTTTGCTGTGTCGCAGACGAAGTCGTGCACTTTTCCGTGACGTCGCATCTTGAAATATTTGACAGCGATGCATCCTCAGGAATGCTTGTCCACTTAGGTGGAGGTACACCGCAGAGCGCACAGTACTGACAGGCTTTCCGGGTCGCCTCACTAGTATTTACTGAAACAGATTTTTGGTTGATCACGTTGTTACAATAATCTGCTGACCTGTACGTAGACATTTTTTTGTTTGTCACATTCTTACTTTAGAGAGCCTACATTTCATAGGATCACACCTATGATAGATAATAATAATGAAAAAAAAAAACTATGTATGTATATGAAATTGAATTATTTTCCAATTCAGTCTAAGCAGCATTGCCATGTTCTTCAGCTCAGTCTTGCCACTACGCACAAAACAAAAAAAAAACAACAAAAAACAGAAACTTACTGATATCTGATATTACGTGATTAAATGATAAACTGAGGTGCTGTGATCTGTAGTCAAAGCAATGCTGCGTTGTCATACATCATCTAAGAAAGACTTGACATTATAAAGTTTGAAATAATTTCCTTGTCACGAGTATTACATTATGCCTACACCTGGCGGATCACAGATTTAAAAGAAGCGGAAGCTATGATCTTAATTTGATTTGGACTCTGAACAAAATACAAGGTCGGCGAGATTAGGCCTAAGGTGCAGAGAGACTCTCAGAATATTAGGTGCAATAACTTGATTAAATGTTTCTTTCTTTAACTAATAAACCGTTTCCCTCTTCGGTGGTAAAGGAGGAGGGTCACAGAGAGGCCGCAGGGACTTGTTTCAAGGAGTGTATGACAAGTAATCGATCAACTGGCTGTAAATTCGACCGACTTGAACTTGAAATAAGTTTTTAGGCAAAATTTTCTAATACGTTTTTATTTTATAAACAGTACTTGTAAACGGGAATAAGACATGGATAGCAAAAAACCCGAACAAAAAAACACATGAATAAATGTTTCCATTAATGTCGTTTGTTTGACCTAAACTGACTGCAAATCTGAGAAAGAAAAACACATTTTTAATTATTATGAGCTCGAATCAACACATACAAAATAAGATCTAATCTCAGTCTCTCAGGGAGCTGAAATCAATTAACAAAGACATGAATGGCTGTTAATAAGAGAATCTGGTTCAGAGTTTGAATTATCGTATTTTTTAACGACATAGGTTTTTCTCTTTACTTTTACTATTTTTACGTGTTCTACAGAACTGAAATGTCAGCAACTCTTTAAATGTACAAATAGTGCCGAGCTCTCAGTTTTGCACACAAATGCTCGAGAAAAATGTAAAAAATAAAAGTGTTTATTTCGCATTTATAAGAATTCTGATACATATTTAATGCTTTGTTGACTAACATTAATAACCCAAATAAAAAAAGTAATCCGATTGAAATGTTATTCATATATATGTGGTTATGATGTTTTTTAAACATTTTTACACAATTTGTATTCTTAACTGTGTAAGATGGGTTTCTGGCTCTTTGCTTCTGCAGTGTCGCCTGTAGTTCACTCAGCATTGTCACTTTAATTAAAAACAGTGTGTCCTAATGTCGGAGTAGGCACCCCCTCATCACTTTCCCTGCGCTGTAGGTGGTCGTGTATATTTTCGTTTAAGTGGTGTTTATGTGATCGAGAAGGGACGGGATTGCTAGCAGACCGCTGATTGCGCGTGTTGGGCCACTATGTGGATTTGAAGTGTATTTGATGGGCACTGCAGTCTCCAGTAATCAGCTGCTGCAGAAATGGCTTTATGATCATTTAATTTTCCAGATAAGATATCGGTACTACAAAGAAAAGTAGTTACCTCTAATCTGCTCATCAACAGATGTTTTCAATATTTTTTCTAACCTCATCAATTCTGACAGAGATGTCCACAACTTTTATAGAAATGTTTGATTTTGCTCAAATTAAAAGGATGCACACAATCGCGCTTCCGTAGGTCCCTAGAGTATGACACTGAGACGAAGTTACTTATATGAGCACTACTGACAAATCAAAGGATAAATCAATGTTTCCAGCCTGTGCGCCATGTTGAAGATATCGGAGTCTGATGGATATAAAAATGTGTAAGTAAATCTTATCTCAGTTAATTTGTGTTACCTTTCCCCCAAAAAAGGGGAGGATTTATTTAATCAGAAAATTAAATTTTACAGTGCGATCATTTTAATTGGAATTCGTGGAAGAGTGTGAAAACACAGCCTTGCTTAGTTGTTTTAAGTTTCCCATCGGTTACATTCTGGTGTCACGTCTCACACAGAGACATACAGCCACCTGCCTGCATCCGCCTCACACCCGCACTAACAGCTGTGTTGTTATCAATTCCTTCGATTCAGCTTTATTTCTGTAGCGCCACATCACAACACGATTTATCTAAGGGCATTCTAGATAGCAAAATAATAACCTTCTATTGTCATGGAAGGTCCCCTGCAGAAAAAAAAACTTCCTGCAGGACTAGAAGCGCAGAGAGGGGAGCATTAAAGGGGGGAGAGGAGAGACAAAAAGATAAACTCGGAGAAACAGCAGACAATAAACATTGAGTAGGTTGGTCAGGTCAGTGACCTTATCCTTAGACTTAAACTGACAACTGCGAGTCCTCCACAGAGATAATAATACCGTACAGCATGAATTCAGATTGAAACCATGAACTGAATGAATTTGTTTTAGTTAAATTAACCCCAGGCATCGTTGGGATATCTTATACTGTAACTGTAAAATTAGTACTAGAGTCCTTTAAGCTTTTGGTCATCTGGTAATCCATTTTAGATTTATATGTTGGATAGAGGAGCATTTTTTCTTTTTTTTTTTTGTCATTATCAGTTAACAGATAAAGAGGTTATCATACCAAAGTATGAGTCATTGGTTTAAAAAACGCTATTGTGAGAACCCCAGGCTGCTCAGCAACACTTCACACGCCTTCCCGCAACTGTCCCTCGTGTGCCATATTGTCAAATTATAGACAGCCCACTCCCACTCCTGTTTTCTTTCTTTTTCTTCTAGATTCACTTGTTTGTCACATGTAAAAGCAAATTTGACCCTGTCTTTTTATTTTTTTTTAAATTGTCTTCTTTCGACATCCTCATGTCGAAGCATTCCTTTCAGACAATGAAAAAACAAGCATGAAAGCATATGTAAAATTCTTTCTGGTTTATTTTGTGATTATAAGCAGTACCACATAATTTGACATGAAGGACAGCAGTGGGGAGAATTTGGCAGGTCCGGAGCTTTCACAAATTCCTGACTTTCCAAATGTGGTTAGCACTTGTAGGGAAAATGCTTCATAATTTTATATACCTGTATATAGCAGCAAACTGGTGTTTCAGTAAGTTTGTAACTTTTTGGATGTGTGTGTGTTTAAAAAGAAAGTCAAAAGGGCAGAATTCAAAGGAAAGAGAAAAATACTATTTAAAAATGTACATTACATACAATAGACACACAATATACATTTTATTTACAAAGTTAAAGCATTCATGGTATGTTTTTTTAATGGCTCAGTGGCTGTTTTCATATTTAGTTATGTATTAACGCAATTTCTATAAAAAATATTTCACAATGTTCCTTAATATAATCAATTTTCAATGATTTTCTTGCATTATTTTTTAAATAATATTTTATTTTGGTTTCTTGAAAACATTATAATCAAAAGTTTAATTAAAAAAACAATACACTGCAAAGCTTGTCAGAGTAATAGTAAGATTGGTTATTTTGGTGAATAAGAGATGATTAAAGCAGCAGTTACACTAGCAAAATATTGAATGACAGCATGTGATATTTCTCAAAGTTTCCGGTTTCCTTCAGTGGGAGTGATGGTGTGTGGTCTTCATATTTGTTTGCTTTCCTTTTAGTAAAGTTTTATTTAAATGCATAGAATATTTAAACTAGGACATACTTGTCGTCATCATGCACGCGTGTTCCTGAATCGTTCTGTTTTTTGTATTTAAGTTAATTTAGGGCTCAGTTTGATTCATCCAAAGCTGCTTTGTGTGTTAATTAGCTTTTATTCATGATAAAAGTATCTATCTGATTCAAAGCCTTGATTAAACGCATTATACTTGTGGCAGTATGATTTTTTGTTTCTTGTGTGACATTATCTGGTGGATTTTTTAAAAGTCGCTGCACATTGTTTTGTGCTCAACATAAATATGACATTTTTTTAGACGCTTTCCTGCATCACGGCCTTACTATTTCTCTCTCTCCCTCTATTTTTTTTAAAAAGAAAAGACTCAATCCCACACAGTGAGTTCGAGCCTGTTTGGTGCCCCACCCTGGAGTCCTGCACACCTCCCAGGGCCGGTCCATCATGGTCTGTCTAATGCAGGCAAAGACATCAATAATGAGAGCTGAAGCAGAAACCACAGCGGAGAACACAAAAGAGAGAGGGAGGGCACACACAGGCCGCAATTGGCTCTGCTGCAGGTTAGCTTCTTTGATATTGCCTTGATTTCAGTTTGATGGGTGCACATGGGGCGACATGGGTTTATACGTATGTGTTTACATAATATGTATGGTGTTTACGCACAGCCCACCGACTCTTTTTTTCTTTACTCTGAAGGGGGATTTTCCTGTGGCAAGCTGCTTCGGAAAAAGCAATTAAGAATTCCCAAACAGTACACCACAATGGGAGATATCGTTTGTGCAATGTGTGTTCCATGTCCCTCACAGTTTTTGTCTGGAATGGGTTGACTATTTTTAATCTGCACATAACCGAATCCACCTACAGACAAACCACAAATTGAATGGAGGGGAGGGGGATGAGTGGGCACTATAATTGCCTATTGTGGAGCTCAAACTCCTCTGTTCTGCCATAAACAGCTTTTGGTAGTTCACAACTTGATACCCAGTGCTCTTGAAATGAGGGCATATCCTTGTCGTCTGTGGGAACCCATTGCCAGGCAGTGGTTGGAATCAGTCAGGAATGCTTTGGGATGGTAACTGGATTCAGTTGTGATGCCCAGCTCTCCACAGCGGAACACTAGGGTGGGAAAAAGGCCGGGAGCATTTCCTGAGTGGAGGGGGGTCCCAGCGAAGCATCACGCGCATGGGCATCATGTGACAGAGACCCTGCCAGGTTTAGGCTATGATCCCAAGTGAAGAGAGGAGTAGAGAGGAGTACACCCGTTAGGAGAGGTGTGGTTGGTGCGGTAGGCAGTGCCAGGGAAATAAATGAGAGGACAGGGAGAGGCTGAATGAAGAAAGAAGCCTAAATATTGTAAGTGCAATGTAGTGTAACCCCTGAAGGACTAGTCAAGAGCTCAACAAAAGAGGAGGGTAAAATGTTGGCATCTGTCTGAATTATTTATTCATTTATTTATTGTGAAAAATGTGAATTGATTTGTTAAATAGCCTTTTTAAATTGTTAGAAATTATTTAGAGATTCATTTTTTGTGTTGAGTTTTTGTATTTGTTTAGATTCGCCTTCATTCATGTTTTGAGTTTAGCTGCTCACAAAATATGCAAAACAACAGTAATGTTTCATACAGCCAAATCAAATAAAGAAGCTCCTCCCTTATTCAGATGGGGTCACCACAGTGGGTAGCTCCACGTGTTTGATTTGGCAGGTTTTATACAGCGGAGGCTTTCCTGATGCAATTCCTAAGGGATTTGTGTCTCTTCCCAGGTTCAAACCAGGGATCTTTTGCTTGTTGGGCAAATGTGTAGATCACTGTGGAAACAAAAATATAAAAGTTTATAATTTTTTTTAAAACTGTGTACACAGCAGGGAGGTTTTAACAGCCTCATTGGCTCACCACCAGAGGTTTTGCATTTAATGAGAGGAAGCGTGCTTGAAAAGAAAGTGTCTATGATTTCAAAATGAACAGGTTATTAACAAACAAGTGTCCTCAGCACACTGCAAATCACTGCCCAAGTCTTCAAGGGGCAATGGCATCAGATTCGGTAAATTTTGGTACATCTGTTCACAATAAAAGGCCACGATCGCCTCTGAGTTTTTTAACTGTAAAAAATGAATGCAGTCCAACTATTTATTTATCTTTTGAAATTTAACCTCAGTGGAGACCACCATAAAGTGTGTGCCTGTGTGTTGTGATTTGACTAAGTTATTGCTCTGAGATGAAGGGGGTGTGACCTATGTGGCAATCTGTGCAAATTGTGTGACAGAAAAACACAACAGAACAAATATTGTTGCACAAAAAAAAAGAAAGAAAAGAAAAAAAAATAGCAGTTTGTTTGTTCATTTCCCTTCCTGAATTTGATAATGCTTTCATCTCCAAACTCAACTGCAACAAACCACATTTTAAAGCCACTATAACGAAGCCAACAGATGTTATTTTAACAGTGTTTGTTTAAGCTCAACGCACCACTTACATGTTCGTTTGGACTTGGGAAAAATAAGAGTGTGAATCCGTCCATCCGTCTGGCTCTGTGTCTGCTTTTCTGTGCAGTCAGTGGCTGCATCATCGTTGTTATTGCGTGCTTCTTGCAGCTGCCTATGCCGTTGATACATGTATTCATGTATCAGTGTATATGAGAGTCTCGCTGACTAAATATTGGTGTGTATATGTGTCCAGACTGGTGCTGGCAACCAGACATTTCTCTCTTTGGCTTGTGTAAATGTTGTGGTGATCTTGGGAAGAATCTTACCTTATGGTTGTCAAAGGGCTTTTTATTTCCACCTGCTACCGGCCTCTTTCCGCTGGTCTGCTCTATAACAATGGTACTGCGAAAGCTGCGGAGTTTAAAGTGATTTATGTTAGACTGTATTTGGCCCTTCTTCAGATTGGGGCCTGAAAGGAAGTGGCTATCCCTCCCTTCCACCTTAAATACCCTGCAGGCTTCAAGAGCTGATCAGGACTTTCTTAGGCATCTCATTTTAACAAAGTGCCAATGTGCTCAAAAGACTAGCTGGCAGGTGCAGATAAACAATGTTTTCAAGACTTATAAGTCAATTTACCAGCACATAAAACACAATGTAGTTCATTTCTGCGATACACTCAAACCCAGATTTAGCCCCTCCATCCTTTCTCTAGCCATCACTCTTTTTTCTGGTCCTGTCACGGGGGAAAAGAGATACAGCCTCATCCCCACTGCATTCTTTCCATTTTCCTGAAGAGGAGCGTGGCAGAGAAGGCAATCTATCACCCAAACTGTCCGTCCATCTCTCTCCCTAATTCTAACTGTGTTTCTCTTTCTCCTTCCTCTAGGCTAGAGTGGGCAGGCATGCGGCTTTGGCCACAGGAAGCTGTGAATTCTTTGGAGAATGGAAGATGTCTTATGGAGAGACATACTGGCCCTCCACCCACCCACTCACCACCTCAAAATGACCCCTGACCCTTTTCATGTGTTTATATCAGACCGTGGAAGTGAGAAATAGTGATGAGTCACTCTGGCTGTGTGTTTACACTCTGGAGTCACGCAAGGAAGGAAATCAGCCACGGTCTGCTAAAAGTGGCGAGGTGAGAGAGAATAGCTGCAGTCCCAAGTGCTGCAGTGATTTACCTCAGAGCCAGAATTTGCTTCGTGTCATCTCTGCTGTGAAAACTTTCAACCTGCAGAAAAGCACAGTAGACCTTTGTGGAGGAAAAGGGCCAAAACAAGTAGTAGCCACTGAGGATAGGTGTGCGTATGAGAGAAAGATACGGAATATTTCAGGAAACATAACAGTTAGAATAAGTAAAATAATTATTTCATCAGAATGCATGTCATCGAGATGTTACAGAGTTCTTAATATGTTGGACTTTTGTGTTTTGTTAGAGATGACCACGTTTAATTTGATTGCACTTTAATCATTCGCACACTTCACTGTATTTAAATGAAAACCTACACTCGCACACATTCCCTTTGTTTTTAAGAAGAGCTGTTTTTAAAACTCATCACTGCACATTTAACTGTGTTATTCGTCTTTCACAAATATTTTTTAGGAGTATTAAATAACCAACTAAAACTGCTATTACACTTTCACCTGGCATTGTTTTGAACCAGGAGTTTATGCGATTGAGTTTTTGCAGTCGATGATTTTCAAAAGAAAAAACAAAGCAGCAAACATTTGAAAACCTTTGCAGCATATTTTAACATTTTACTTGAATATTTCAAATGATCTCACCCTCCTAACTTTCTCCAGGTTGGACAATATCCCAAAAAAATATTATTTTATTAGATTATTAAAATACTTGATGTATAAATGTGATTTTTTTTTTTTTTTTAAAGCAAAGCAGATTACATGAAAGCAAAAAAGAGTCCATTCTAATGACTACAGCGATATGCGGGTGTGAAAATATTTCATAAAAATACAAAGTTAGCCGAGTTTCTGGGTGACATATTTTTACTGATATGCATAAAACAATTAAAATCTGAAATGTAAATTTCTGGTGGAAGACAAACATAACACTGTTTGCTGATCTTACTTCATCATTGCCATCAAAACCAGTTGTGTTGTGCTCAGGAAGCCTTTATGTTCAGTGTACTGTAAGGTGTGTTTACTGTGGCTTCCACCAGTGTTTCAACCACAGTGTCATTGTTGTCCTCCACTGTGCGTGACTTTAGCTTTTAAATTGCACAACTGTTGTTTGCGAGACAGAGCTGTAGTTACTGCCGCTGTGCTCTGTAAATAAAAAGTGACACTTTATTTCTTCCTGTCATTGCACTGGTGCAAGTACCTTCATTGCTGACTGCACCGCGTATCCTTTTACACACCCCCGTACACACCGCCACAATGAGAGAGTCAGCAGCTCTTATTTTGGCCGATCTCTCCTGAATTGTAAGTCCTGTCAGGGGTTTTGATTGATAGTTGCATTTATCACCATATTATTAAGTAATCAGGCTCACCACAGCTGGGCCTGAAGCTCCTTAATTCTAGCTAAAGTACACAACTTCATGCTAATTAAAGGTTTGGTAAACCTGTTTATTTTCGTGAATTTTTAGAATATAGTTGTGTGTGTTATTATGTGTTTTAAGTGTGCTGATTATTGCATTTGTATGCTCTCAGGAACATTTAGAGCCAAGCTTTACTGCTTCATGTTCATAAGAAAAACTGTGAATAATCACATGTGGAGAGAAATAATTCATGCTTCATATGCTGCATGTAGAATGTAGAATATTCAGCATTAGTAAAAAAAAAAAAAATCTACAAAATGACAACAAGGGAATGAGACTAAATTCTGTAAATAACACAAGCGGGTGAAGCAGTCTGTGTTCTGTGGATCAGGAGAGGTTTGGTCTCGCTTTCTTAATAGAGCCTGCAGTGAGCTGCATTTGTGTATTCCTGAGGTAAACACAGTCATGGCAAAGTGGACGCGCTGCTGAGTGTGTCCTGACTGGAGACAGGGAGCACTGTGGCACTGTACTTTCTGAGATGCTGGCAGCTCTCTCGAGGTAGGGTTAATTTGATGAATGGCCATTTGCTAATGGGCCATGTATTAGGGTGAAAAAGCTCCTTTAAAAGCCATAGTTTGAGTCGTTTCTATGGGCAATTTGATTTAGGAATCAATCAAGTGGCAGATGTTCCATGTTGCATCAGTCAACTTTGTCCTGTACGCTTGCTTTTTACTTGATATGAATTGCTTGAATGACTGTGTGCAGTAATCAAAGCAGAACATAATTTCATATAAGTTAAAACATCAGTGAGGCCATACCTTGATTTTAAAAAGCAATTAGTTTTAGTTATTGTATATGTAAACTGAATAATGTTAAAAATGAAATATATAATCTTATTTTTTCTTTACCACCTCCTTAAGACTTTAGTACTTGCAGCGTTAAGTTGTTCCCAGGGAAGAAACGCAAGCTGGAGTTCCAATAAAGTTAATTTATGTTTTCTGTATATTCAGAATTTTTTTTGTGCAGTAAGATAAATACCTAAAGTGGAAAGACTGACAAATATATATGCATAAAGATTTTGTTTGTACTTATGTGTAATAACACTAAAAAGTTTTGTTCTTTTTTGTTTCTTTGATGCAGATTGTGTGTGTGTGTGTGTGTCGCAAAACTGTAATAATAGTGACACTAATAATTATATATAAAAATATTAAACATATGGCTGCTGGTGTTTGTGTAATAATTGATCCCGTATTTGTTACTATGCTTACTATGCTTCTGTTTTTATATGTTGTATGAAAAAAAAAAACTGAACGGCTATTTTGCAAAAATTGACAAAGTTTCCATGTTTTCAACAATAAATTTCCAATTTCTGCACAAACTTGAAATGCTGGTTGTGCATTTTTGATATTTGCCCTCCTTTCTCTACTTACAAAATCCACACATGAACAGACGAATAAATAAGACCTACTAATGGTGAACTCTGCAAGGCAAAACTTCAGTCAATAGCTTCTTTTTTTTCTACATACGGTAATCTTTTGCGTATGAAACCACTTAATCAGAGTTAAATTTAGCATTAGAGCCAAATTCAAGTGAACAACCACTTAAAGACTTTATGATGACTCTGGTTTTCTGTGGTAGGGTGTAGCGCACATATGATAAACATTGCCAGATACAAATTCAGAAATATTGAAGCTGCTGGTGGTTCTCATTTTTATTTATGTTAGCTTTTTTTCCCGAAGAATTGTAGGTCAGTGTTTGTACTGTCCAGTTTTCCAGCTAAGTAGACCTTGCAACTGAATGACACTTGATCAATAAATAATAACACTGCTTATCCGTGATATACAACAGGCTCAAGCGCTTGTGTTGTCTGTGACCTTGGACCTAAGTTTGGCTAAAAGCAGATTCACGCTGGCTTATCAGTGTTTCTGCAGAGGTCGTGTGAATCAGAAGAGCTCAGACATTCTTAAAATATATATTTTGAATACTGAAAAAAGTAGAAATGATCAGATGGATTGTAGTTGTGCCGCTGAAATTAAAGCCATTCAGCAGGAATCTTGAACATGTCTTCTTCATTGGTGAATATGCGTCAGTAATGAAGTGCAGAACTAGTTATATAGCATTATCTAGTTTAAAGCAACAAATACTCTGCAGTGTTTATCTAAAAATCACACTGTAGTGGATTGTACTTACAATCACTTCTGTCCTTAATATTAAGCAGAGAGTGACAGACACTCAAGATGTTAATTTTCCAGGAGGCCATGTGCCATTTCTCCATGTCCAAAACGCTTTATCTCAGGTGTTGGTAAGGACAGACTGAGAGACAGACAGCCACATGGTTCTACTTTTGCCTGCTAATTCCAGGGAATCAATCCTAAATGACACCTATGGGATACACAGAGTGGATTTCTCTCTGATGCAGATTGGTGGTGGTTTGCAGATGAAAGACAGTAAAATAAATAAAGTTGTGGCAAGCAGGCAGAACTCTTCTGTCCACACAGTACAACCATAATGGGATACATGCTGACATGCGGGAAGAAGTGGAGGCCTGCTCCTGTTTTCACCGCTGTTGCCATGGAAATGCTGATGGACTGCTGCTGCTCTTCCTAAATATCTCTGTTGACATTTGTTTTGAAAAACATTCTGTTTTTCGCTTTCAAAGGGTCGGAGAAAGTTACCAAACAAGTAGAATAATAGTGATTAGCAGAAGGCAGCTCTGTTTGCCGTTAACCTCTCAGCTTGCTGGTACTCTTTTAATCCTAAAACACGTCATTAAATCAAACTCAGCAGTATCAAATGGCTTTTTAACCTCCCCTAATTAATCTTTTCATCAGCTGCTGTGTCTGCGGTTGGCCTGAAGTAAGAATGGTAATGGTAAGGCAATCCTTGCTTGACTCATCCAGGCTGGGATCATACATGATACTCCTACAAGTTACTCCAACCTGCTTTTCCCCCCCGGTGCCAATGCAAATTCATTGTGTTGCACAATACAGGACATTTCACTCTTGTTGGGGTTTTTTTGCATCTCTATTTGAGCATGGCTTAAATTCAATTCCTACTGCCTATTGTGCTTACTGTTGAACTGTATTTGTACTTATTGTACTTGGTCTGCTGAAGGGGAAAGTGTGTGCTCAATGCAATGGCTGTATAAATAGGACTGTTTTGTGAACCATTTTGAAACCAGTCACAGTTCCACATGCAAATAGCATATATTATATCATGTAAAAATCCGCAGCCTCCAGTATGCATATGTTGAGAATGGACTTTTCAGAGACGTCAGATCTCTTCAACATCTACCTATTTATGCTATTATGACAAAGAACTAGAAGAGGCAAAATTTAAAAACATCTGTCTAGGTAATTGCAAATTCTTGTGAGGAAAAAAAGCCATTTTAATTCAAGCCAAGCCAACTTGGGGGATTTTTATAGAACTTCATATGTGTCCATGGGGAATCTTTAAAACTGAAATGGACTCGTTAAAAAGGTAGAAGCAGTTACACAAATGTCCCTCTTATTGGCTCAATAATTAGCACCAAATAGCCTGCAGATAACAGAGGGGCATTATCAAGTTTTTGTCACTGGTGCCACTGAAGTGATTTATTCAGATTCTGGTCAACTCCCGTCTGATGCACTTTAACAAATCACAGCCTGGGGACTAGCAACCCCCCACCCCACTCACCTCTGTCTCCCTCTGACCCCCACACACTCACAGTGACAAGGTCTAACACTGCTATCACCCAAAGTCAAGCCATCCTACACTTCAGGCAAAAAAAGAAAGAAAAAGAAAACAGTAATGAGACTGTTATCTTTGGAAAAGTGATGTAAAAGCTGTGTCACAATGCTAAAATTGTTACCTTCATTCCTCATGTAAACATATTATTAACTTTTGCAAGAAGCCAAAAAGTAGACTCATTTATTTACAAGAAACAACATTTTATTATGAAAAACTGCGAGTTTTTTTTTTTAAAATGATTAAACTGTCTGTGACCACCAGCAGTACTGTGTGACCCAGGGGCTCAGGGTGATAAGACCTCCATAACTC